CACTGCTGCCTCACTCTGGATGTCCATATGCTTACCTCCCACTTAATCCCCAGCACAACTCCACCTAAATCATGTGCGGGGTCTAATCCACTAGGCATACTCAAAGGCTGCCTAACTCCACACAAGATGGCCAAGGAAGGGAAGAGGCCCTTCCTTATAACCTTTAGCCCAGTGGTTAGAGTACTCACCTGAGATGTGGGAGACCCCAGTTCAAATCCCCTGCTCTACCTGATGAGGAGGGATTTGAACATTGATCTATCATCTCTCAGGTTAGGGAGATCTCCTTCGATAGGCCGTTTTGTGTGCAGTTAGGCAGGCACCTAAACTGCCTAGCTCCAGGATAGGGTTCCTGGCTGCAGATTGCAAACAGAGCTAGGCACCTACCTGCACTCTACACTTAGGTGCCAAAGTATGTGGCTTAGGATACACCCCTCTAATTAGCATGTTAGCTTAGGTTGCTCCATGTCTAGCACACTAGCTTTTGTGGATCCCATTCCAAGGTGCTTATCTGTCCCCAGGCATTGTATGAAGCCCAGACACCTAACACAGGCTTTGTGAATCCCAGTAATTTTCCAGACGCCTAAAAGTTAGGTGTTGCAACACCTAAGTACCTTTATGTATCTAGGCCATTGTGCTTAAAAAGACACTAACTGCTCAGAGCACACTAGGGCTCCCATTGGTTCTGATGGAGCTGAAACAACTGGAGCAACAGTGGAAATCCTTTCAGCAGCAACAACAACAAAAAACAAAAAAAAATCCTCTTGTAGACAATCCCTAAATGAATGGTGCTATATCAATCAATAATAAAATTAACGGTTTTCTACTAATTTCCATCACTACTTCATATGCACATTAATCCTCAATATTGAAAATACTGAACTCCAGCAAGATTGAAGTATTTTTCAACGGAACAACAGTATGGGAGGAATAATTGTGTAAGACTAATAAAAGTGATGTAATCAAACTGCAATCACGCTCTCCTGTAAATTAATTTTTAATTCTGCATTTGGTAAATACAGGCATTATTTCCAAAGGGGCTGTGTCTCTTATTGCAGACATGACTGAAGAGCATTATGTACTGTGGCCTTCCAAAACAAACATGACCCAATACCTTTCATAAACAGTGAACAATATTTTGTTGTTCATGTTTGTGAGACATAGATGAATTAAAGGTAAGTTCTCAATGTATACACTAGGTTATGTGTTGGGTAAACATAGTCCAAGTCCAGTAAAGAGCTGCACTGATACGTAGCAAGAAACCTGGTCCTTCTTCCAGGATGCACAAGAGGAGGGGTTCTCAAACTGGGGGTTGGGACCCCTCAGGGGGTCACGAACTGTCAACCTCCACCCCAAACCCTGCTTCACCTCCAGCATTTATCATAGTGTTAAATATTAAAAAAAGGTTTTTAATTTATAAGGGGGGTCGTACTTAGAGACTTGCTGCATAAAAGAGGTCACCAGTACAAAAGTTTGAGAACCACTGCACAAGAGCGTACAAATCTACTTTCCCAGTAACCAATTATTTTACCAGGCAAAGTTGATAATTTTTATAAACAAAACTTCATTTGCTCTCACTGCTTTCCTTACTCCCTTTTTTTGTTTGAAATCTATATTTCAACCATACCAAAATTCTTCCCAGTTCAAGCACTGTAGAAGCTACTACCCTAAAGCATGCAAAGGGAAAATAAGTCTTGTGGGGCACCACAAAAACAGTTTTTGTTTAACTTCATGGAGACTAATCCACAGATGTGGGGGAAAGTGCAGACTAAGCATTACATGTGAAATACATCTACAGTGACAAGGGCCAAGCACAAGGTCCTGTGGATCAATAATTACACAATTTGCAAAAGTGTGCTGAGTGCTTTAAAAAGATATAAGAAGGCACTTCCCTATCCTAAGAACTTGCAATCTAGAGCCCCAATCTTGCAGACTTTTACATAAGTGTGTAATGTATGTATTATTGACTATAATTTGGCGATTTAAACTGGGGAATGTTAACTCTATTTTTCTCCATCTGTTTCATAGTGTTTATTTCTTTACAAGAAAAAACATCCCATGTTGAGACATATGACTAATGATATGCTTAGCATGCAAAGTTTTAAAAAATAAGGTCAAAAGAGGTTAACTTGGAAAGTGAATGGTATGAAGAGTACTAAGCATTCTCACAAAACTTGTTTTAAAACTGGATTGTATAAAAGGTATAGCTACATATCAGACTGTTGGACAGGTGAATTTAATTCAGTTAAGTTTAAAAAAAGTCCCACAATTACCAGCTAGTCAGCAAGCAACTTATTCATAAAAAGTACAGGCAGGTTTACAATGTTTGTGAATAAACTAGTCGCTGACTGGTTCAGCTACTTGATCAGAGGGATACTCATGAAGTAGAGTGAGAGCTGGTTGATGACGCGCGGCATTATGATTAGATTAGAGACTGGATTTATTAAGTGTTTCATCTTGTCATAAATCAGTTTATGCACGAATACTTTGGTAGCTGTGTAACTAAAAATTGTAGGAATGTATGGGGTATGGGTAGAAAAAGTTATTGCTGAAGAACATGCCATTTGATGAGTGTTTCTAACTCTTTAAAAAGATACAGACCAACTTTATTTCTGTTTTAAAAGTCCTGCATCAGGGTGTCTCTTCTTCTCTCTAAGGTACAAAGAATGTGGCATTTTCCACAGCTAGTCAACACCATGTGTGTGTTTGATGGCCAGAGGACCAGTAGACTGACAGCAGATTTTCTTCATTCCAGGGGGTTAAGCGTACTTTTGGCAGTGCCTAAGCTCCTGAGCTTAGTTGTGACTTTTTGGAACAAACCCTGCACTATTGAAGTCAATAGCATACTTTTATATATAGTACTTCGTACGCTGTGTAGAAAAATTACTTCATCCACCAGTGCAATGCAGCCACCTCAAGGGAGGAATGCAAAAGCTGCTTAGCACAAAATACTACAACCCAATTTAGGGTAGGAAATGAAGGATTCTTTCACTTTACTAGCAGCTGTCTATTAACAAAGAATATATCTCAAACATAAAAATAGATTGTTTCTTATAAACAAGTTATCAACATATAAAATATACACTTAGCCCTTACCATCCTTGAACATCCAAATTGCTAACCACAACAGCTCTTGAAAATGGTTGTCAAATGTGATAATGGTTGGCAATCATTTTAAACGTTATTTTAGCTAATAGCCAGTATTACAAATAACAGTTGGCCAAATAACTCTCTGCTTGTTGATAATACCACAGAAGGGGAAAGGAAGATCTGTAAACACCACAAGCTGAACTCATAGGAGTTGCAGAGATGCTGTCCAGTTGAGGGTGGGCTTGTTGTCATACAGAGGGGAACAAGGATCATGATCTTCAAGTTACAGGGTCAGAGGATTTGCTGGGAATTCAAGAGATCTCACCATCGATCTCATGGCTTTTGCGAAAATAAGCAACCTTATTGTCAGCATTGCTTACTTAGAAGCTGTGATACCACTAGAGCTAATCAAAGAAGTGTGAAAGTAGATACTTTTCTATGAAAAATAAGGACCAACTTTTGTCATGGAAACTTTTCCTGTTTTTTGACTAGCTCTAGACACGGTTATGCCTCCTGAAAAGAGAATAGAAATCATTGAGGATATACACTATATACACACAAAGCCTACTGAGACTCCACTTTTCAACATTCACATGTAAAGACTTGCATGCTCCATTGGCCCCACTCCTCATTTGGTAGGCATAGCTCAAGAGATGCATGATGCTACACCACTATGTAATAGGCATCTTCACTGACGAGTTAACTCCTCTTGTGTTAGTTTAACTCAAGTGAGAGCAGCCCACACTATGAAATAACACTCAAGATGCAAAGAGCAACTGTATTAGCAACTGATGAGTTGTGCTAATTCAACATGTATCCCAACAGGCCATCTTGAGTTAAAAACACCATCATACTTGAGTTAAGAGATTTGTATGTGGTAGAACTCAAGGAAGGGCCAATTATTTGAATTATATTAGGCTGAAGACAAGTCCTTGAGCATAGTACAGGATTCTGGGTTTGCAGCAATCATGCTTAAACCTAACTTCTCCAAAGCAGGGTCTGATTAGAAGTTCTAACATGATTACACCTTTTAGTGACCTAGATACAAATAAATTGGTTTTAAACATGCCTCTAGCGCACCTATGTGAGGTTACATCCCTTAAGCTATGGTTACAATACACAGTTAACCCAGGTGATTGGGATCTGGCTTAACCTAGCTCAGGTGTGAGCATTTCCATTGCAAAGCCCTATTTGCATTACTGTGTCCTCCATTTCTGCACTCACCCATGTATATTGGGGGATATATGCCTTGGTTTTTTTGTGCGGAGATGCTTTAGGACTGTATGAGAATAGGTCTCAAAGTACTTTACAAAGGACGTCAGTGTCATTATCCCCATTTCACAAATGGGGAAACTGAGGCACAAAGGTGCCACGCTTACCCAGGAGGCTGGTGGCAGAGGCAGGAATAGAACCTAGCTCTAGAGTCCTGATCCAGTGATCTCCCTGGTAGGCCACGCAGGCTTATGGGGCTCAAGAGCACCAGTGGGGTGGGAGCGCCCACCCAGGGTGGGAGGCAGGTCAGGTCACTGGGAGAGGCAGGCTCGGGGATGGGGGGGGGGACTATCACTCCCCGCACATGCGCACTCCTCCCGTTCCCCCCTTCTCGCTGCACATGCGCACTCACTGCTAGCTGGGGGCCACTCGGCGCCGCTGCCACCTTCTTCTTCTTGCTGGGGCCGCTGCCGTTGCCCGGGCTCGCCGGACGCTTCTTGCTGCGGGCCGCTCCCGGGGCGGCGAGAGCCGCTGCCCCTGGGACCAAACTGGCCATTCCCCCTCCTCCACTAGGCCGGATCCGGCTGCCCGCCCCTCCCCGGGGGCATGCGCAGTGCGGCCGGCCGGCTGGCTGCGTGCCGATTTCGCTCCCCTGCGGGTTTGCAGCCGGCGGCTCCAGGGCCCACTTTAGCCGCTGCGCATGCGCGGCTTCCTCCTGCCTTTTCCGCGGTCCAGGGGGGCTGGGCAGGCGGCGGCGGCAGCACGTGCGGTTGGAATATTGGGAGCCTCCTTCCTTCAGATCCCAGGTTCCCCGGCCGGGGCGCCCAGGTTTTCATTTTAGAGGAGACCTGGGACTAGCCTGTGATGGGGGTGGAGGGAGGGGGAACGGGACCATAGGTCTGTGGGAGGAAATGCAAGGCCCTGGGAGCCCTTTGACATGTACCTGGTGGCGTCTGGGCAGATCTACACTTAAAATGCTGCTGTAGCACTTCAGAGAAGCGGCTACTTTGTGGACAAGAGAACGTCTCCCATCAGTGTCGTTAATCCACCTCCATAAGCAGCAGTAGCTATGTCTGTGGGAGAGGCCCTTCTCTCAACATAGTGCTGTCTGGTTGGTGTAACTGTCTCAATCAGGGTGTGGATTTTTCACACCCCTGAGTGACCTAATTATACTGATAGG